ATATAATTTGCATAATTTATGAGGAAATTCTATGAATCAGCTGCATTACATTATAGGACTATTTAAGCTTGTGATATATTAAGTGAGAACAAGAGAAACACAGGCAGATATTGGTTATGTAAATTAACACGTAATTTGCATAATTAATGAGAAATATTATAATTCCATAATGGTAACTGCCTGGAATTTCATACTTGGGGTATTTGAAAGTTAAGTAAAGGTAAACATCATTAAACATAACTTATTCAAATGAGGACCTCATTTGCATAATTTATGAGGAAATGATATACTGGCTTCCTTTGTTAAGATAAGGCTGTCTTCTGGTGGAGAATATGATCAACTGATATAATTCATGCAAATGAATTATATTGCATAATCCTATTTGCATAATCAGGAGGAATAATCTTTACTTTGTCAGGCATAAAGATTAACATCACTTGGCGAAGGTATGAGATCGTTGAACTCTAGTTGATAAAGATTTCGGTGGTCCATTAGATATTTTGTCTCATTATCACAAGCATCAATGATCCTGTCTATAGTAACCACCTGTTCATATAGACCAGGTTTTATTCGTGCCCTAAGTGGTCTTCTTTTGCAGTTTTGACTTTGCTTTTATTTCGCAGTTTAGAACTTCGTTTCTAGCGGTTCATCGACAGTAGTTATAACCACGTGGCGTGCCTGTGGGGTTGCGGAAAACTTCTCCACTTCCGGACTAATCACAGCATTATTTATTCAAAAAGTCAAAGATGACGTCTTATAGTGTTGAACAATGCAAAGAAGGAAAAGGTGATAGATGCCACGAAGCTGCGTCTCAAAAAGCAATTTAGTCATGGTTTATTTATGAAGAGTTGATATCAAACTATTGGTGAATATCAAAGTAGCAATTTTGAAAGTCATGCTTAGGAGTTGCTTTGAATTGGGTGAGGAATGTCCCTGAGCTAACCACAGCTTCTATAGTATTGGTTGATTGAGTCCTCACTCTCAGTGAGTCGAGCTTGCTTGATCATCTATGTTTACCTCCATGAAAAATGGAGGTATTGTTTTTGGCTGGTCTGCCTGTGTGTCTGTGTGTGTGTGTGTGTGTATCTGTGTGTGTGTCTGTGTGTGTTTCCGCAACTTTGTAGTCAGCATAACTTCATAACGCCTTTATGGATTGTGATGATATTTGGTATGCTGATAAGTCTTAGGAAGACAAAGGTCAAGGTCAAATATGGGCCTCCTGGTGGATGACCTTGGTACTGCAGCGGAACTTCCAATTTTTGTATCTTTTGTCCTGAACATGCTATGGTCTTGACTTTTTGGTGACAGAGAGCTTTTCCTGTCAGAAATAAGTGGTTTGAATTTGGTCCCCCTAGCAGCTTGTTCTGGAACTGCAGGGCACTTTCTGGCGAAATCTTTAAAAGCCAATAAGTCCAGATATCATTTTTGGTGTGTAGGTAGGTGAGACAGAGTTGTACATAATTAGATGCAAATTATGCAAATGAGGACTTAATTTGCATAATTAATGAAAAAATGCTATAATTACAGTGTTTAATGTAATAGTACTTTTATACATGTAATCTATTTAATCTGTGGCAGGCGGAACATCAACAGATACCAATTATGCAAATGATGACCTAATTTGCATAATTAATGTGAAAATTCTGTGACTCCTTATTGGTGAATGATGGGACTTTCATACCTTGACATGTGTAAGTTACTTAAAGGTTAACACCACTATGCATTTATTATGTTAATGTGGAGGTCATTTGCATAATTAATGAGGACATGTTGAAATGTATGACAAAGCAAGCCCATATTTCATTGAGGTATGAGATCTCGGAACTCTTGTTCTGACTTAGTTCTGAGTTCACTGCCTAGAGGTGTTCTCTTGGCCATCATTTGGGCCCTGTCTTGCACCTAGCAAATTCGTAAAAAAAGTCTTGAAGAGCGCTGTAGGTTTCACACAGCAGCACCCATGTCTGTATCAAGAGCCTCTGTTAGACCTCATGATGATGTCTTCTACTGAGTCGCACAATTACAGCGACAGTTTGTACTAAAGAGATGGTGGCTATTGGTGGGACGTGGGGTGTGAAAAGTACACGGCCCTGTTCCCTGATTACAGTGCTGTGGAAATAGTTTGGCGCCATTTTCTAATGTGTAAATTGCTGCCTCCTGCAGAAAGAAGAAGTCGAGTACTAATGAGTGGCGCGGCTGATAATGCTAATTGTAATTAGGGATAAAAAGGGTTTTGTACTTACTGCCTGCAACATTGGTCAGAACAAGTTGAATCAACAACGGATAATTGGATCATTAAGTAACACAGTAAACACAAACCATTCAACTAGTATGTCGGTTTATCCTGACTTTGTGGTTTATTGTTGTTGTTACAGGAGAAGCGCCACCTACAGTCCAGACTGGGGGATGACGCTGGTTCGGACCGCAGCGGAGGCAGCTACACGCACTACTCACGTGACCTGTACAGCTACCGGCGGAGGGATACACACAGCAGGGAGCACCACGACTACGATAGTAGTGCCAATAAAAGGAGGGTAAGTAAGATCAAGGACATTATAATGTCCTAGGTAAGATTTACAACTTCTCCGGACTGTTGAATGTGAATAGCATTATATCTATTGACAAAGATTCCTGCGCTCATATTGGTGTTTCTGGGATTATATTATATCATAGGTATCAAACGAAACAATAGCTCTCAAAGTCATCAGAATGAATAAACGCGTGACTAAAGCGTCGTTGTCCCTTTGCAAACGCTCAATGGAAAATGCTAAGACAGAGAACGGCTAAATGGTAAAACAGGCACCTACCCAGAAATCCAACTACTTTTAAGAAAAAAGAGGTCAACAATGGAGGGCTTAGAACAGGGCTTAGAACTTAAGAATGCTTTTTAAAGACCAGGTTCCCTGTCTTCATGTCCTGATCGTTGTTGCGTTATGGGCACGACAAGAAACCGTGACTGAAGAGTCGGTGACTAACTGTTGGTCGCCTTTCATTCCACTTCAATTAAAATTTGTACGAGTTTGTCACGTGTGCGGAGAGGAGGACCCCAGGAGCCATTTTAACCGTCACCCCCCCCCCCTCAGGCCTCGCGTGACACTGCCTGGTTTGCAGACAGAGTAACCACAGATGACTAGTGTAACGTTAGAACACGCCACTCTAACATACAAAGACAGTCCTAAATCCTTTGGACCTGTAAACGTCAGCGCACTGAAAGTTGATACAAAACATCATCAGACAAATCACTGTCTGTGGGCTATAGGCAGCCTGGATACTGAATAAGGCTGGATATCCGGGTAGAACCAGGGGGATTTATAAATAGGTCAGGTCTTAGACTGGTTAATAATATAGTAGAAATCAGTGGAGTGGAAGAGCACTGATGGACAACGGCTTCAAAGGTTGTTGTACACACGGGCCTTGGTACTACTTTGCACTGCTGTGAATGTGTAAAACGTAGCAGTGATTAAAAGTTGATGAATTGACTATTATGACGTTATTTTTGGCAAGGCATATAGACTGTGAAGTAAACAGGTTTCCACGTCGACTGCAACCCTCTCCAGTAGTGCGCATGTTGTGTGAGACACACATTGGACACGAACTTAAGACTTCTTAAGACTTAAGAGGCAAGGATCGATAACCACTGAGCTATGTATGCTACACTCGATACTATATTGGATTAACCATTTACAATAAGATTCAGTTTTTCACGTTATGTTTTCTTGTAGCTCTTTGAGATGATGGCGTCTGTTGAGATGGAGGTGAGCGAGCTACAGCGCGTGCGCCGCGAGATCGTCAGACAGCAGGAGCTAGTGCGCACGCTCCACATCGACATCCACACCCTCCAGTTCAGGGTACGTCACGTGTTCTCAGCTTACATGTCAGACATGTGTAGGACCTGTCACAGTGTCTGTGTCAATGGTGAAAATGACCCAAGACACCACCCAAAAGTGGACACAATGACCAGATGGTCCGTATGCAAGTGTTAATTTATCCGTATGAAAATTTATCCATTTGCTTTGTAAATCTTAATGTTCAACCTGGATGTCTAACCTCCATCGAAATACCAGTACAGGTATGACTGTGGACTACTTGAATAAGTGATTTCCCACTATCGCTACCAGTGGCTGATTCCTTTTGAAGCATATAGTGGCCTTTCTCTTAAACTTCTCATTTACATTTTACGAACTGTACCAATCATCATGGTAAAAGTTACTTGAGCTCTTAGTAGTGCCATTGAACTATGTCTTGAATATAGAAAGTTGTTGTCGCGTGTCTTTATCTCAGGTTCAAAGGGTCAAGGACCGTGTGTCATGTCATTGACTCAGTAGTGGCTTACGTTTTTCACCCCTACATGTTAATATGTAGGGATGTTTACACACTGTTTATCAAACGTAGTACAAACTTCAATTTCCTTGCAATTGTTCATAGTGTACTAAATATGAGAAGATCTCGACAAGTACAAGTACATACTTAAATATACTAATTAGTAGGTTTCATGACTGACAATGAGTTATATCTTGTGGGTAAACAGGGAAACGCTGCCCTCTGTATGGTACCAACGCCCTTCATTCATAACACCAGGTTATTGATCGAATTTTTATATCAAGTCATGAATTTTTTATACCATTTAAATTATTCATCACTAGGAAGGTAGTGATAAAACGACTCACCTGTCCGCGTTAGGCAGGTGATTCGGCCCCGCCTAACGACGTTGCGGTTTCGTCTTAATGCGACTTGGCAGACTGTTCTTATATCACGTCCCTCTAGAAGATGGTTTTGTTGTTCTTCTGGGGTAAACCGTGCATGCAAGGCAGGCGTTAGGACAAATGCCGTGACTCTCTCACTCTTTGGCGTGCATTACACAGTTTACTGTTACCTAACTTGTATATCAGGAATATGAAACATGTTTTGTATTGAACTCTTTAAGCAATTTTCAGATGAAAATGTTTTACGAATAACTGCATTATAAAGAATAATTGCTTTAAGTACACAATGAAATGTCACAATTTAACACAGCCTTATGTCATGATCTACCTTTTCTGTTAGATCATTTATTCATTCGTTCGTTTATATAAACAGCATCTACAACGTATGGTTTGGCCATATGGTCCGCCGTGTAGAGGGCCATAGAGCACTATCTAATTAATCAACTGGCCATCTTCCCTTATCGTCCGATGCAGAGAAACGTAGAAGAACCTAGCATATTTGTGTTTCTTTATTTGGCTTTTCCATAACAAGATGGAGGGGGAGACAAAACAGGTGATTACTCACCTCTTTACGTTGTCTCCCCCGCCACCGTGTTGAAAAAATATCGGTCAAATTAGAACTTATCAATAAATGGTTTAACTTGAGAACCATCTTTCTTCATCTATAAAAGGGTAGCCACGTGACCTGGGAGTCAAAGGTCACCCAGGACACGTGACTGGATGAGGCAGAACACAGTTTTCGCCCTATGGGGATTCCTATAGTTAAGCACCCCGAGGTGACTCACTTCGACGCGGTAAAAATTATAGTAGGGTGCACTAGAGAATCACGGCTAACTAATATGTTGAAATATACGCTATATTCTACATAATAACAGAAAACCCAAAAAAAAGTTATCGTTTTTAAACATAATGACGACCACTTTGATTTGGTCCTCTACCGGGGTCAACGGAACTGCAGCCGGCTCACCCCGGAACGCGGTTTCGTAATGCCGCGTATTTATACACGAACAGGGAAATCTTCACAATCGAAATCAGACAGTGTACAAGCCGATACCTTTCTATACCACACAGCGCAGTTCACTCATGGCTACCTCTCACATAAGTCGCTCTAGCCAGGATGCAAGAGGTTTGACTGCACTACTTTCTATACCCGCGTCATAGACCCGGGGGTCGTCCATAAATACTGTGTTCTGTGGCCTTGTAGCGGAACGGGGGGGGGGAGGCGATGGTGGCATTGGTAGCATGTTTGATAACATGTTTTGTATTACTCCTGACAGGAGGACGAACTGAGGAAAGTGACAAATGAAGCAGACAAGCGCCACTCGCGAGAAGTGGACCTGCGGGACAACGTGGTGACGAAGCTGCAGGCGGAGATCCAGTCGGCCACGCAGGAGCTGCTGCAGCAGAAGTACCAGAACCAGCAGCTGCTGGATGATGCCATGCTGCTGGACGCGCAGCTCAAGACCTACCGGAGACTCTGGGACCTCAGCGAGGGGCGGTCAGTTCTTGTCTTACTTCTTCCCGTTATTTGTGAGTTTTAATTTAGGGCCCGGTCACATTCGTCGTACGATGGTCGTAAGATCGCAAAATGAGGACATCCTTGGAATAGTCACGCATACATCGTAAAAACTTCAGCATATCTTGTTAAGAAAAACATTTTGAGATCCTTTCAAGTGGGGAAATCTTTAATTTAAAATCTTTGTTGAGAACAATCGTAATATCGCCAGGCACTTGTCTATCTGGAGAGGGTAGTGCTAATGATTAGCCTTCAACAGCCACTCCTAAGGGGGTTATGGATAGTAGAATCCAGCAGAAATGGAATCAATAATTGGCCAGGGCAGTGAGCCGCGAAAAGGGTATCATTCTCTCAGATGAACTTTATAGTGGCAAATATTCTCCCTATAGCCAGTGTAGTAATAATCTAATAGCTGATGATGTTCTTCACGAAGCCGATAGTCCGTTGATGCTTTGCTTCTGTCGTTTACGCTCTTGTAACAGGGGCCCACCAGGGGACCCCTCTCCAGCAATAGGAGATGACGAAGAGACCACGTAAGGTTTTAGATGTTTCGGCCACCCTAACTTCAGCAACCATCGACTAACTCTCACAGATGCAAAATTACCAAACATAAGTTAAAGGGAGGTTACATTCTCCATTCCATATGATTCACCATCTTTATTTCATGAACCAATTCCTTTGAAAGTTAGATTTGTAAAAGACAAAATTCGATTCTGAGGACAAAAGTTGACAAGATTCAAGCTAGGAAAAAAGATATCGACGATCATCATTAAAAAATCATTGTCATTGTCATTAACCTCACCAGATCAGCCTTGTTTTCACGCGACCTTCATCACTGATCATAATAGCAGCACTATGTCTGGACTAGACTACAGTTACAGTACTCCATGGCCTGTACAATGTATTGTTTGTCACCTTGTCATTTCTTCACAACAGCATGATGGACAGGATATACGTAGTAGCGAGGAGACTTGAGGATAACGAAATTGATACAGATTGATTCTAATACTACATTCATTACTTGTAACTTTGTCCGAAATTTCATGAGTGGCTTTTGTCGTTTTCGTAGCTATCAAACATTTCTTAAAGAAATGGAAGGAAAGGGTCGCCGGTAAGTGTGTACCTCTGTCGACACTAAGTCCTTTACGAATTCATGCTAATGGCGCCACCTATCACCCCGGCTAACAACTGCATCCAAGCTTCGCAGGATGTATTAACCAGAAAAGTTACAATCTCTCGATATCTGATTCTTTGTCTCTTAACTGATGTTAAAAGACGTTAAATAGTGCCGTATTTTCCATTCCAGTATGGGAACTTCTGGCCGGCGTCCTTTGGGTGAGTACTGCGCACGTTGGCACGATCTAGCCAAGACAGTATCCAATAGGCAAGATAGTGTCCGATAGGCAAGATAGTGTCCGATAGGAAAGATAGTGTCCGATAGGCGTCGGTAGCCTATTGGATACTGTCTTCACTACTAAAAGATTTATTTGGATATTGAGACACTATCATCGCTTATACGAATATTGATAATTGCTTTGCGGAATATTCGTTTAAATTTTCTATCAGCTAGCTGCTCGTGATTCTGCCCTCACAAAAAAAGGAAACTCTTAAAGAGCTAAGTAACCATTAAGTATGAGAGCACCTGATTTGTATTTTGCTCTACATATTTAATGAAAAGACGAAACTGGTATATATAAGATTGTCACCCTACCGTCATCCTTCCGACTTTCCTTTGATTATTTCTGTACATCATATAGTACTTTACAGGCGCAGGTTTTAAAGATTTTATACAATACTTTACTGATGGTAACGCTGTATTGTGTGCATGTTTAGCCCTTCCAGCGCCGACGCCCATGCCTACTGGTAGGACGTGGGGAGCCCTCACCAAAATGGACACCACGCCTGTGCCCGGATTCGCCCCGCCGGCGAAACGGGACTACGGGACAGCGCGCATCGGGACCACCACCTCCAGGATATCCTACGTCACTTCCGCCGCTGCCCGGAAGACGACGTCACGTCCTTTGACGGAGCAGGATGATGCCCCTGGGGGAAAGTTTGCCAAAATAGAAGTCAGGGGCCAAACCACTCGCAAGGACACGACGCCGACACTCTCAGCTAACAAAACCATCAGAATAGGCCCGCCCAAGAACCCGGGCGAGTCCGGTTTTATCCACCAAGTGGACCGGACAGAGCAGGACCAGGTGGATACGTCATCAGTGGTTACCATGAAGATATCGGGACAAGGGCAGAGCTTTAGTGGACAGGGCATTGACAGTCAGCAGGTGGGAGTTTATGGACAGGTAACCTCACTGACACCGCAGGTTGGGCAACAGGAAAGAATCATGGTGACCGTCACCGAAGGCAAAGTTACAGGAGCCAAACAGCTAAAGTCGGGACAGGCAACAGAACTTTCACTCCATGAAACCCAACAAATCTTGGCATCCGTACCTACCGAAGCTGCGCAGCAATCAGGCAACATAATGGTCACAGTTACGGAAGGAAAGGTCATCGAGACAAAAACAGTCACAGAGAAGGAGGCAGAAACGATCGTGTCACTAGTAACTGAACAAGCCGATCCTACAGCCGAGAAAGTCGTCGTCTCTCTAGAGGGAGGGCAAGTCGCCGGGAAGCGCATTGGAAAGGACAAAGACACCGCTCTGTCCCCAGAAGAAGCCGCACAACTTTGGAGATCTGTCGCTCAGCCAGGACAGCAGACCGGAGATGTCGTCGTTTCCCTTTCACAAGGACAGATCGTGGGATCCCAGCAGCTAACACCAACGGAAGCCGAGACCATCAAGGCTGTGGTTGTAGAAGAGGCGAGACCTACTGTATGCCCGACTCCAGTTCAGCCGACCTTCGTGTCAATCGCACAGACAACAGCACAGGTAGCTGCTCTTCAAGAAGACAAAATCATGGTGACTGTCACCGACGGTAAAGTAACAGGAGCCAAGCGACTGAAGTCAGGAGACACAAAGGAACTTTCACCTATAGAAACCCAACAAATAATGGCGTCTGTCCCTGCCGATACTTCCCAGCAGTCAGGTAACATCATGGTCACGATCACGGAAGGCAAAGTCATTGAAACGAAACAGGTCACGACAAAAGAGGCAGAAACGATCGTGTCATTGGTTTCTGAAGAACCAGATCCAACGGCAGAAAAAGTAGTGGTTTCCATTGAGGGAGGCCAGGTGGTCGGAAAGCGTGTTGGTAAGGACAAAGCCACGCCCCTCTCTCCACAGGAAGCCGAACAGCTTTGGAGATCTGTCGCCCAGCCGGGACAGCAGACCGGAGATGTCGTCGTTTCCCTTTCACAAGGACAGATCGTGGGATCTCAGCAGCTCACACCAACGGAAGCTGAGACCATCAAATCCGTGGTCAGTCAAGAAACAAAAGCTGTGCAGGTCATGCAGACGTCACAACAAGTCCAGCCAGGGGCTTCAGTTACCTCACAACAGCTTGGGGTGGTCGGTACAGTGCAAACAACGCAAGGTTTCTCGACCGGTGCACCGATCGGAGGAATGGTGGCTTCCGGAACGTTCGCTACTGGAACCGTAGCTCCTGGAACAGTAGCTCCTGGAACAGTAGCTCCTGGAACCGTAGCCCCTGGAACCGTAACTCCTGGGGTCGCTCCTGGAACCGTAGCCCATGGAACTGTGGCCCCCGGAACCGTTGCTCTTGGAACCGTGGCTCTCGGAACGATTGCTCCCGGAACAGCAGCGTCTGGTACCGTTACTCTGGGAACTGTAGCACCCGGAACGGTCACAGTAACAACGGGCATAGCAGAACCTGGAACAGTAGCGCCCGGTACCGGAGCCGTCGTTTCCGGAACTGTTACTGACTCTGGAAGTGTCAGTATTGGAACAACTGCATCTGGACAGATCCCGGAGTATCTACCGCCGTTTGCACGACATCCGCTACCACCGATCGGCGTGGGCGACGTTCCAGCTCCGACAGCGTCCGAAACACCCCTTTCGCCCTCAACCACCGTGATGGCGTCCATCGAAGGCGGAAACATCGTGCGGGCGCGGAAACTCAACTTCGGCAAGTTCGAGGACTTCGCTCCTCAGGAGGCAGAGCAGATGTTGTCTGGTCTCCCGGAACGCCAAGCGACTCAGTCGGGCAACATCATGGTGATGATCTCAGAGGGTCAAATCGTCAAGAGCCAGCAGCTTTCACCCTGGGTGGCAGAACAACTTATAGCGACCATGTCAGGTTCAGCTCCCGGACAGGTAACCGTGCCTGTGTCTGGCCAGGCTACGTACGTGCCTGCTCCGGGTTCTCCGCCTGTAACTGTGCCGGTCTACGGACAGGCCAAGATCTCTCCAGCCATAGTAGACAAACCGATAACCCCTGTTTCTGGGGAGGCAAAGTTTTTCGCTGGGCAGGAGGCTGATGTGGTTAAGGGACAAGGAACCCAATTGCAGGGCACAGCCTCTCAACAGATCGCCGGCTCTGTTATAACGCAACAAGCGACAGTAACCGTCTCTGGCTTGACATCTGGATTTCAAGCCGCGCCCTTTCAAACAACACCAGCATCAACGGTTCTACCCCATGGATTCCAAGCAAACATACCACAGGTTTCTGACGAAACCCTTCCTGTGGCCCATATCACATCACACGTGATGCCAACGATTCCAGAAACACTTCCAAACACATCGGAGAGAATCGTTGCTTCCTTTTCTGACGGGAAGATCGTTGGAGCCCAGAAAATCGTCGATGGTCGCACAGTTCAAGTTGAGCCCGCCTATGCAGAGGCCACACTGAGGACGGCGTCCAGCCAAGCTGTACCACAGTCTGGGACTATTATGATGACTGTGGCGGACGGGAGGGTCCAGGAGACAAAGCCGCTCACTCCAGCTGAGGCACAGTATGTAGCGGCGACCGCGACAGTTGAAGACGCTGGGAAGGCCATCCCTTACACGACGCCTGGTTTTCAGCAAGCTGTGGGGGTTAAGTCTAGTCAGATTGTGCCCTCACAGCCTTATAACTATCAGACACCTACACTCTCGTTGGGACAGCAGGCTCTGCAGCCATCGGAAAAGATCATGATGACCATAGACGAGGGGAAGGTGGTGGGAGCAGTGCAGCTGAAGCACGGTGAGTCCACGCAAATCCCTGCGTCAGAAGCGGAGAAGATGCTGGCTGTTTCCGGGCAGCCTGGGCAGCAGTCAGGGAACGTCATGCTCACGGTGTCCGAAGGCGCAGTTCTGGACACGCAGCAGGTCACACCTAGAGAGGCCGAGACCATCATGACGACTCTTTCCGCCCAACCTGACCCCACCGCTGAAACGATAATCGTTCGCTTCGTCAACGGCCAGGTGGTGGGAGCCGAGAGGAGCTTCCAAGAGCAAACATCGACCCTGTCCGCTCCCGAAGCGCAAACGTTACTGTCTTCAGTTCCCAACCAGCCCACACCGCAGACTGGAAATATCTTACTCATCAAGTCTGAGGGAAGAATCGTGGAGTCTCAAGAGCTGACGTCCACGGAGGCTGACACCATCATGAGTACAGTGTTCCACAAAGCACAACAACAGTCTGTAGCCCAGCAGCAGCCAAACTTAACGTCGTTCACTCAAACACAGCCGTCGTTCACTCCAGCAGCACAGTCTGTGACACCAAAGCAGGACAGGATTGTGGTGACGGTCGCAGACGGGAAGGTCACGGGAGCAAAAGATCTGAAGACAGGACAGCAAAAGCAGCTGTCGCTCATGGAAGCACAACAAATCCTGGGTTCTACCCCCGATGGAACAGAGCAGCAAACAGGCAACATCATGGTCACAGTAACAGACGGGAGGATCGCTGAGTCAAAGCCAGTCACACAGAAAGAAGCAGAAACAATAGCTTCCGTAGTGGCCGAACAGTCTGATCCAACAGCCGAGAAAGTCGTAGTTTCTGTCGAGGGAGGCCAGGTGGTCGGAAAGCGTGTCGTTAAGGACAAAGCCACGCCCATTTCTCCTCAGGAAGCCGCACAACTTTGGAGATCTGTCGCCCAGCCAGGACAGCAGACCGGAGATGTCGTCGTTTCCCTTTCACAAGGACAGATCGTGGGATCCCAGCAGCTTACACCAATGGAAGCCGAGACCATCAAGGCTGTCGTTGTGGAAGAACAGAAACCTATCGTGTGTCTGCCTCCAGTTCAGCCGACCTCTATCTATAAGCCAGCTGGAATACCAACAGCAGAGGTAGCTGCTCCCCACAAAGACAAAATCATGGTGACGGTCACCGACGGAAAAGTGACAGGAGCTAAACAGATCAAGTCAGGAGAGACGAAAGAACTGTCTCCTCTAGAAACTCAACAAATCATGGCTTCGGTACCCGTCGAGGCAACCCAAAAGTCAGCAAACGTCATGGTCACAGTCACAGAAGGAAAGGTCGTTGATACAAAATCAGTTACGGAAAAAGAAGCAGAAACGATCGTGTCACTAGTAACCGAACAACCGGACCCTACAGCTGAGAAAGTCTTAGTTTCTGTCGAGGGAGGCCAGGTGGTCGGAAAGCGTGTCGGTAAGGACAAAGCCACGCCCCTTTCTCCACAGGAAGCCGCACAACTTTGGAGATCTGTCGCTCAGCCGGGACAGCAGACCGGAGATGTCGTCGTTTCCCTTTCACAAGGACAGATCGTGGGATCCCAGCAGCTTACACCAATGGAAGCCGAGACCATCAAGGCTGTCGTTGTGGAAGAACCAAGACCTACTGTATGTCCGACTCCAGCTCAGTCGACATATATGCCAACCGTTCTACCAACAGCAAAACTGGCTACTCCTCAAGAAAACAAGATTATGGTAACTGTCACCGACGGAAAAGTGACAGGAGCTAAACAGCTCAAGTCAGGAGAGACGAAAGAACTGTCTCCTCTAGAAACTCAACAAATCATGGCTTCTGTCCCTACTGAGACGGCCCAACAGTCGGGTAACATCATGGTCACAGTCACAGAAGGAAAAGTCGTCGATACAAAGCCAGTTACAGAGAAAGAAGCAGAAACAATTGTTTCACTGGTGACAGAAGAGTCAGACCCTACAGCTGAGAAAGTCGTAGTTTCTGTCGAGGGAGGCCAGGTGGTCGGAAAGCGTGTCGGTAAGGACAAAGCCACGCCCCTTTCTCCTCAGGAAGCCGCACAACTTTGGAGATCTGTCGCTCAGCCAGGACAGCAGACCGGAGATGTCGTCGTTTCCCTTTCACAAGGACAGATCGTGGGATCCCAGCAGCTTACACCAATGGAAGCCGAGACCATCAAGGCTGTCGTTGTGGAAGAACCGAAACCTATCGTCTGTCCGCCTTCAGTTCAGCCGGTCTTTACGTCTTTTGTTCCAACCCCAACTTTCATTTCAACAGAACCGACTGCAACTATCAACGCTGTCGTTGTGGAAGAACCGAAACCTGTCGTGTGTCCGCCTTCAGTTCAGCCTGGCTCTCTGTATGAGTCAACCGTTCTACCAACAGCAAAACTGGCTACTCCTCAAGAGGACAAAATCATGGTGACGGTCACAGACGGAAAGGTAACAGGAGCTAAACAGCTCAAGTCAGGACAGACAAAAGAGCTTTCTCCTCTAGAAACTCAACAAATCATGGCTTCAGTTCCTGCTGAGGCGGCCCAGAAGTCAGGTAACATCATGGTCACAGTCACAGCAGGAAAAGTCGTCGGTACAAAGCCAGTTACAGAGAAAGAAGCAGAAACAATTGTTTCACTGGTGACAGAAGAGTCAGACCCTACAGCTGAGAAAGTCGTAGTTTCTGTCGAGGGAGGCCAGGTGGTCGGAAAGCGTGTCGGTAAGGACAAAGCCACGCCCCTTTCTCCTCAGGAAGCCGCACAACTTTGGAGATCTGTCGCTCAGCCAGGACAGCAGACCGGAGATGTCGTCGTTTCCCTTTCACAAGGACAGATCGTGGGATCCCAGCAGCTTACACCAATGGAAGCCGAGACCATCAAGGCTGTCGTTGTGGAAGAACCGAAACCTGTCGTGTGTCCGCCTTCAGTTCAGCCTGGCTCTCTGTATGAGTCAACCGTTCTACCAACAGCAAAACTGGTTACTCCTCAAGAGGACAAAATCATGGTGACGGTCACAGACGGAAAGGTAACAGGAGCTAAACAGCTCAAGTCAGGACAGACAAAAGAGCTTTCTCCTCTAGAAACTCAACAAATCATGGCTTCAGTTCCTGCTGAGGCGGCCCAGAAGTCAGGTAACATCATGGTCACAGTCACAGAAGGAAAAGTCGTCGGTACAAAGCCAGTTACAGAGAAAGAAGCAGAAACAATTGTTTCACTGGTGACAGAAGAGTCAGACCCTACAGCTGAGAAAGTCGTAGTTTCTGTCGAGGGAGGCCAGGTGGTCGGAAAGCGTGTCGGTAAGGACAAAGCCACGCCCCTTTCTCCTCAGGAAGCCGCACAACTTTGGAGATCTGTCGCTCAGCCAGGACAGCAGACCGGAGATGTCGTCGTTTCCCTTTCACAAGGACAGATCGTGGGCTCTCAGCAGCTTACACCAATGGAAGCCGAGACCATCAAGGCTGTCGTTGTAGAAGAACAGAAACCTATCGTGTGTCCACCTCTAGCTCAGCCGACATTTATGCCAGGCATACTACCAACAGCACAGCTAGCTACTCCACAAGAAGACAAGATTATGGTAACTGTCACCGACGGAAAGGTGACAGGAGCTAAACAGCTCAAGTCAGGAGAGACAAAAGAACTGTCTCCTCTAGAAACTCAACAAATCATGGCTTCAGTTCCTGCCGAGGCGGCCCAGAAGTCAGGTAACATCATGGTCACAGTCACGGAAGGAAAGGTTGTTGATACAAAACCAGTTACGGAAAAAGAAGCAGAAACGATCGTGTCACTAGTAACCGAACAACCGGACCCTACAGCTGAGAAAGTCTTAGTTTCTGTCGAGGGAGACCAGGTGGTCGGAAAGCGTGTCGGTAAGGACAAAGCCACGCCCCTTTCTCCACAGGAAGCCGCACAACTTTGGAGATCTGTCGCTCAGCCGGGACAGCAGACCGGAGATGTCGTCGTTTCCCTTTCACAAGGACAGATCGTGGGATCCCAGCAGCTTACACCAATGGAAGCCGAGACCATCAAGGCTGTCGTTGTAGAAGAGCCGAAACCTATCGTGTGTCCACCTTCACTTCAGCCGGTCTTTACGTCCTTTGTTCCAACCCCGGCTACTTTCATTTCAACAGAGCCGACTGCGGCCATCAACGCTGTCGTTGTAGAAGAACCTAAACCTACCGTTTGTACCTTCCCCATGCCCACAACACAAGTGTGGCCCCGGGATCCGAATCAACCGAATTTCGCATCCTCAAAACAAGGATGGCCACGGGATCCGAATCAACCAACCGTCACGCCCATAATACCGTCAGATGTCCCAACGGTTGCAAAGGAAGACAAAATCATGGTGACGGTCACAGACGGAAAAGTGACAGGAGCTAAACAGATCAAGTCAGGAGAGACGAAAGAACTGTCTCCTCTAGAAACTCAACAAATCATGGCTTCAGTTCCTGCTGAGACGGCCCATCAGTCGGGTAACATTATGGTCACAGTCACGGACGGAAAAGTAGTTGACACAAAGTCAGTTACAGAGAAAGAAGCAGAAACCATTGTGTCACTAGTAACCAAGGAACCGGACCCTACAGCCGAGAAAGTCGTAGTTTCTGTCGAGGGAGGCCAGGTGGTCGGAAAGCGTGTCGGTAAGGACAAAGCCACGCCCCTTTCTCCTCAGGAAGCCGCACAACTTTGGAGATCTGTCGCTCAGCCAGGACAGCAGACCGGAGATGTCGTCGTTTCCCTTTCACAAGGACAGATCGTGGGATCTCAGCAGCTTACACCAACGGAAGCCGAGACCATCAAGGCTGTCGTTGTGGAAGAACCGAGACCTACTGTATGTCCGACTCCAGCTCAGTCGACATATATGCCAACCGTTCTACCAACAGCAAAACTGGCTACTCCTCAAGAAAACAAGATTATGGTAACTGTCACCGACGGAAAAGTGACAGGAGCTAAACAGCTCAAGTCAGGAGAGACGAAAGAACTGTCTCCTCTAGAAACTCAACAAATCATGGCTTCTGTCCCTACTGAGACGGCCCAACAGTCGGGTAACATCATGGTCACAGTCACAGAAGGAAAAGTCGTCGATACAAAGCCAGTTACAGAGAAAGAAGCAGAAACAATTGTTTCACTGGTGACAGAAGAGTCAGACCTACAGCTGAGAAAGTCGTAGT